CCCCCCCCCCCCCCCCCCCCCTCCCATCATGTGCTTTCGCCCTCATTACGCGAATCATCGTTGTCGTTTGTCGTCGTTCGTTAAAACTCCGTTCTGCATTTTCCACAGATGACACACCTGTAGACAATCGGAGCCAGCGGCATTGCGCGGCGATCAAACACGCACCCCCCTCGTCCAGGTCGGAAGGTCACGCCCGTGAGGTCGTGCCGAGAGCGGCCCGGCGTCGACGGAGGTCTCTCCCAGGTGGCGCTGCCTGTCCCGAGGCGCGAACGTCGGATAAAGCACGTCTGCAACATCGAGTGGAGAATAATTCTCTTCAGTTCTGCTCATCAATGTAGTATACATACATACATACATATATATATATATATATATATATATGTATGTATACATAGATAAAGAACATATATGTATAGATATATCCGCACATAATGTACTCCTGTGACGCGTGACGTATTCTCAAAAAACAGAAACATATCGAAGCGATTCTCTCTGAAGTGTCGTCGTTACACGCTCGGGTCTTGTTATATTTTCCGCGCGAACGCGCGCGCGTCGCATGTACAGTGGGTAGCCCGTCGGCTTTTTATCCTAGCGCTCGGATTAATCGAATTAATTAAATTAATTAATCGAAGCTTAATCGTCGAATGCGGGGAACTGCTTCTAGTGTGCTTGGTTCTTGCGCCATCTCGCGAGGCGGAAACGCGCGAACGATAACGCAATAATGCTATTGGCTCGAAGCGCCTACTGGCTTGCTTTTTGCGCGGCGGCGGCGTAGCGAGACGCGAGGGTGCGTGCTGCCACCTGGCGTCGGATTGCCCGAAGTGGCGCGGCGTGTGTGGCCGCGTCGAAATTCGGTAGCTTTGCATTGTTAGAGAAATGAGTCGTCTGCAGAGGTTTCCAGCGGCTGTTGATGTTGAATAGCATAGCAGGTGCGTACGCTCTACATGGCAGCGGTGCTAGTAAGCTCACTCATGTTGCCTGCTGGGAAGGCACAAGGAGCTAAATATAAGGAGAGGACGGGGCGGTGTGCTTTTCGCCTCAAGGGCGCCATCTATGGACCATAATCAGCTGAAACGGCTGTGCAGACCGAACCCAGAGACAATAGAACACTAATCTGTTCTAGGGTCTCTGCCGAACCCAAATTTGGGGCAGATATGGCGGCGCTTCCTCTCCTTGTTATATTTAGCTCCTTGGGAGGGCAAAACTACGGGCACTTACAGGGTCTGGGCAGTTAGTTGACCGTTGGCTCTTGGTAATGTAATAACGGCGCGACGTGAGAGGTGAGATGCGCGGCGCGACGTGAGAGGTGAGGGGCGGGGAGCGGCGCGGCGCGACGTGAGAGGTGAGGGGCGCGGCGCGACGTGAGAGGTGAGGGGCGGGGAGCGGCGCGGCGCGACGTGAGAGGTGAAGGGGCGGGGAGTGGCACGGCGCGACGTGAGGGGTGAGGGGCGGGGAGTGGCGCGGCGCGACGTGAGAGGTGAGGGGAGTGGAGGGGCGCGGCGCGGCGCGACGTGAGAGGTGAAGGGGCGGGGAGTGGCGCGGCGCGACGTGAGGGGTGAGGGGCGCGGCGCGACGTGAGAGGTGAAGGGGCAGGGAGTGGCACGGCGCGACGTGATGAAAAATAAATCATTAAAATGCCGATAAAAATACCGTATAAAAATAAGCTGATTAAAATAAGTTAGATATCAAAATAAATATCGTAAAATATAATAGTTTGTCTTAAATATTAAATATGATAATAATAAAAGTATTAGTAGTTGTAGTAGTAATAATAATAATAATAATAATAATAATAATAATAATAATAATAATAATAATACCCAGGAAATGACTGTAAATATTGTAAAATATCTCTCGAGTCTCTAAAAATAAGTCTCTTCACGAGTCTTAAATCGAATTAAATATGACGATGATATTCGGGAAGCGATTTGACCGTGTGACCAGTGTGCGGCGTGAAACGTGGGCGCACGCCGCAAGCAAGATGTAGATTCCTTGATTCTGAGGAGAACAATTTCTGAAACCGACCTGAGCAGCCATCTACACGGCTTCTGTATTAAATTGACTAAGTCACGAATTTTCTATGGTGATATTTGTAAAAAATGTTGTTGCCATTTTTTTACTTTAATAGTAAGTACTAACGGGACTAAATGTATCGTCAAATTCTCACCTGATAAGATTGTTTCTCAACTAGTTAAAAATCCAAAAAACCTGGACGATTTGATATTATTATCCTGACATTAATTGCTTGCTATGGGCTATGTATGAGTCACGAGTGTATGATTCTGACAGTGGCCCGCAGGCGTACAAATCATACGCGGCAAATCACGGGGACGTGTGAGAGCACATGTTCAGAAACATGACTTATCAGTGACTGAGTGGAATATTAACTAGATCCAATGTATTATTTACATATGAAATTTGTAACGACATTCGTTTCTAAAAGGCTGACCGATGAATTATTTTACCATAAGGTCAAAAGTGTTTTACAACCACTATTTTTAGTTTAAAGTTTCATTTACAAATTGATATACATTGGTGGTTTTACTTAAAGCTTTTAATCACGCGTTCATGCTTTAATTTAACCAATATATCCTCTAATAATATTTAAATAATAGGAATTAGAGAATATAGCTAGTTAACAACGCGTTTATCATAGCTCTTTACGAATGGCATCTCTCTAAAGGGAATACAACTTGTGGTGAAAATACGCTCTTGCAATTACGCTATATGAGGAGACGTTTTACTTTACGTAATGAAATCAGTATGAATAATATCTCCAAACTCAGGTCGCATCAGACGTGTACGTATAGCTCTACGCACTTCGTGGTATGCGTAACTGGAGACCGGTAACCACTGAATCGCTCGCTGCTCGACGTTGCCTTGAAAACATGTCGATTCTCCGTGTCCTCTGTATGTTTATCCGGTTACGGCGCGGCGATTGGCACTAAAAAAATATTTTATGTCCATGAAATTAATATGAAATTCGACAACGAAAGGCAGATGACGGATCAGTTGCCACTGACAATGATGTTTGTGCAGTTCTACCCCTCCCTCTCTCTTACTTTCTCTCTGTGTCTATCTCTCGCTCGCTCTCTCTCTCTCTCTCTCTCTCTCTCTCTCTCTCTCTCTCTCTTTCTCTCTCTCTCTCTTTCTTTTGCTCTGGCTCTCCCTTCCTCTCGCTCTCGGGCTCTCTCAGTCTCTTGCGCTCTCTCGTTCTCTCTCGTTTTCTCACGTTCTCTCTCGTTTTTTTCTCGTTCTCTCTGACCCTCCCTCGCTCTCTCCTGCTATATATGTATATCTCTCTCTCTATCTATCTATCTATCTATCTCTCTGCTCGTGATCTCTCCCTTTCTTTATCTCTCTCGCTCTATCCCTCGCCCTCTCTTTCTCTCTCTCCCTCTCTCTGCATATATATCTATCTATCTCTCCCCTCTCTCGCATTCCCTCTCTCTTTCTCTGTCGCTCGTTCGCTCTCGCACTCTCTCTCTCGCTCTCTCTCTCTCTCTCTCTC